GAGCCCTGCAAGCACGCCAGTGAGAAAAGCCAGACACAAAAGATCACGTGTTGTGTGGTTCCATCATAAGAAAGTCCAGAACAGGGCAATCGTAGCCAGAACGTGGTGCTTGCTAGGGTTGGGAGCGGGAGTGACAGGTGCGTTTCTGAGGTGATGAACATGTTCTGAAACTGACTGTGGTGGCGGCTGCGAGTGACTGTAAATGCACTAACAAGCATGGATTGTACGCTTTTTCAAAGAGAGAACTGTATGGTGCGTGAGTTATACCTCAATAAACCCGTTTTTAAATAAGGGGTGGGGTGGGGAATGGGCAAGGAAGGAGCACTCCGTGCTGTGTCCTTTCAGGTCAGACCGTGATCAAGGACCAGCTGGCACAGTGTGCACTCCCGGCTGCACCCACCACAGCCAGGAAAGGGGTCCCCACCCAGATCCATTTTACACAACCGAACAGCTGACAGTTCAAAGGCTGGCTCCCCCTCACCTCACGGGTCCCTGCTCAAAGGCTGGCCCGTCACAGCTGAGGGAGGGGGCGCCCGGGACCACGGGGGCCTGAGGTGAGGGGGAACCCTGGGGTGAGGAGCGGGCACTGCAGAGCCTCCAATGACAGGAGTTCCCTCTTCATCTCAGACTCTGCCAGGCTCCAATGACGACAGTGTCCCCACTGCTCAGAGTTCTTTTTGCATTGGCAACCATCCCCCCTCCCCGCCTCACGCCAATTTAATCTGATCTTACCACCCCCATCCTGAGCCTGCAGGACAAAGTCCAAGCTCCACCGCCTGGGGAAAGCCCTCTCTCCCACCTACAGGCCCACCCTGGAAGCACCCATGCGCACCCAGAGGGCAGAGCTATGGCCCCAGAAACCCTCCTGGCCTCCTCCCTCTGGGGCCTGCTCTGGGGCCTGCCCCCAGCTGCTCACTGGACCGCTGGCTCCCTCCGCTGACCCGCCAGGGCACCCTGCACAAGGCCAGCGCCACGATATTCTTTCACTCCACACACATGGAGGCCCGTGTGCGGCAACAGGGATGCCAGGTGCGCATGAAGCAGACGCAATCCCGCCCCTGTGGACTAACCCCAAATGGAGAGACCGACAGTAGCAACTGATAAAGAATTACAACCTTCTGCCCGGCTGATGTGGCTCAGTGGTTGAGCATCGACCTATGAACCAGGTCACGGGAGGTTCGATTACTAGTCAGGGCACATGCCCCGGGTTGCTGGCTCCATCCCCCGTGTAGGGTGTGCAGGAGGCAGCCGATCAATGATTCACTCTCATTACTGATGTTTTTATCTCTCTCTCTCCCTCTCCCTTCCTCTCTGGAATCCATAAAAATATTTTTTTTTAAAGAATTACAACCTTCCAAAAGGAGGGAAGGAAAGCATGGAGTTATGAGGACAAGGGTCTAGGATAGGGAATAGGTCCTTAGTCGGATAATCAGGGGACATCCCTGAGGAAGGGGCACCTGAGCTAAGAGCCGGGGCGGGAATGAATCCCAAGCAAGGAAACGGCTGTGCAAAGGCACTGAGGTGGGCAAGAGCACGGAGCGTGAGCAGCTGCAGTGGCAGGGCCAGCACGGCACGGAAGGGGCAGGTAGGACAAGATGAGACTGGGGAGGAAGTGGGGGCCAGACTGGGCAGCCCCCACAGGCCATATTAGAGATGTCAGGCTTTATCATCACCTCAGTGAGAGGGGAGGGACAGTTTTAGTCCAGGTCGAGCAGTGCCAGGTCTGCCTGTCTCCTAACGCCTCGCTCTGGGGCTGTGAGGGCACATCTTGGTGTCCCCCCGGCCTCCCTCCGGCTGGGAGCTCAGCAAACAGTGAGCCACTGCAGAGGAAGTTGTCCTGGTGTTCAGACATGGTCCAGGGGCCTTTCGGGGGACACCTCATATCTTTCCAGCTAATCAAGATGGGAAGAAGAGGTGACGGTTGACTCAAACCTTCCCTTTTAAGCTCATACAGGAAAATTGTCACAAAGATCCACCGAGACCACTCCACGTGCCTCTTGGAAGACGATCACCGAAACCCTTCTGGACAATTGTGAGCTGCAGCAGGAGGAGGACACCCCCGCCACTCCTCACAGGTGGCCCTGGATGCCAGTGAGAAGAAAGTTCTCTTTGCTCTCCTAAGGCCTGGGGCAAGGACCCTCCACTGCTCCAGCCCCACTGGCCACATGGGTGAATCCCCAAAAGACCTTTGCCCAGGCTGTTCACTGAGAACTGCGTCTCAGGCAGAGCGCTGGCGGCACCAGGCTGCTGGCTCCACATGAACTTGGCACAGAAAAACAACTGAATCATCCCCACGGTTCTCCAAGCCAAGCCCTCGAGGCCAACTTTTTTTTTTAAGCTTACGGGTGGTTTCTATGGCAACTGGCTTTAGTGATCTGCAATAAGCCCCGGGCCCACACTCTCCCGGCCTGACAAGGGCCGCCAGGAAAATAGCACAGCCTCTCAGCTCAGAGAGGTCCTCTCCACCCCAGACCCTGCAGGCTGGATGGGGCATCCCATAGGCAAAATGCTTCGGGGCTGCCAGGACATCTCCCCACACCCCAACCACCTCCCCAGGGACCTGACCGGCCTCTGAAAAGGGCCCTTTGAGATGAGCCCGCCGGAAGCAAACCATCTGTTTTCTTACAGCAAAATGTGGAAAGACCAGCTTTGCAAAACCCAAGCCCTGGGCTCTGCTTTCCACCTCCTAAACCCAGGCCTCTTTGCTAATGTCTCAGAAGTATTCAAACAGGAATCTGAAAACATGTGATCAAGGTCAAGTGTCAGTCTACATGGTCTGGCACTGGATTTCACTCTTGTGTGGCCTGCAGAGTGGGACGACAGGTCACCACTGTCAGCACCATGCCTGGTGGCAGGAAGGCCGGCGAACCGCTGAGCCCGCCTCGTCCCTGGCCCTCTCCCGGCGCCTCTGGGTCCTCCTCTATGCCAGCCTCCGCCTGACTCCCCTCTTCCTGGGGCCTCTGGAAAGTGCAGCCTGTCACCCTTTTCCCCAAAGGATTGTTCTCTTCACAAAGGAGGCAACGCCCTGTCCTTATCAGATATCCGGCTCCAAGCAGAACAGACTGCAGTGAAAATTTATCCCAGAAATCCCGAGGCTGGGAGGTTACCCTGCGGTCACCTCAGTCATCTGAGGCTGGCGGGGTGTGTGTGCCCTGGGTGGGACAGACTCCAGGGACCCGGCAAGACCTCCCTGAGAAATGCACCCGGTGGCTGAAGCCCTTAAACTGCACGTCCCCACATCCCCCTAACACGCTCTCTCTGTAACCTTCTTTTCTATTAAGACCAGAACACCGAGGACCCTGCTCTCCTTTACGTCAGTGGTCACCTGCCCTGGGCTGTGAGCTGTGTCTGGGGGAAACAGGGATGTGAGGCCCCGGGGGTGGTTGTTCTCTAGCTCCCAGGGCATGGCAGGCTGGGGGTTGTAAAGTCCTTTGTCTTGGAGGAAGCAGGAACACAGCTACAGTAGAAGCACTCAGCAAACATTAGGCTCTCTAAGGTAATGAACATTACTCATTGCAGCAACCTGCCCACCTGGAGAAGTATTCCCATTTTACAGAAGAGGAAAGTAAGGCTCAGGGAGGTCATGTGATCAAAGCATCACCTGCACTCGCTACACCCTAGCACTGTATGAAAGCACTTTATGTGCACCGTGTCACCTACTCCTCCCACACTGTGGGAGGTTTCCTGGTACTAACACCATCTATAGATATAAAAGCCTAATATGCACATTGTCCCTGCAGGAGTTCGACCGGGAGACCGATCGCTCGCTATGACGTGTACTGAACACCAGGGTGTGGTGCAGAACAAAGAAAGGCCCCGGCCGGCAGCCAGCAGCCAGGGAAGGGAGGCCCTGGCTGGCAACCAAAAGGCCCCGATCGGCCCTGATCGCTGGCCCAGCCTAGGGACCCTACCCGTGTATACATTTCATGCACTGGGCCTCTAGTTTTATAGTAAGAAACCAGGCTCAGCCAGGCCACAGGGGAACCCAAATATGCCCTTCCCTGTGGCCTCCAGCCCTCGGGAAACATTTCAGGCCACTGGCAAGGCAAAGGCCCCGGAGGGCACCACATGGGGACGGCACCCCCCACCTCCAGACAACGGGCCACCAGCTGGGCCACAAACAGGCCACACTGCATCTGGCTTGCACACAGGAAGCAGCAATCTGTGGCAGTCAGCTGGGAGGGCTGAGAGCCATGGGAGGGAAGGAGGCTGAGGTCACAGACCCCGAACACAGGGGAGGAAGAAAACGCGGTCAGCAGAGGGCTACTGTGTGGCAGTGAGAGTCCCCTTTGTCCTGATAAAGACAGACAGGAGGTCAGCCTCCAATTATCACACTGAAAAGTGCGAGCGCCAGCGTCCCCTCCCACTGGGGAGGCCCTGCTTCAGCTGCCTTTTCTCTGATAATACGACCTTGTCTTTCATGACCCCCGAGCTGCTTTCCAGAGGAATGAATCATGTTCTTGTTCACAGCAGAGAAAATATAGGACAAGTCAGTGGGGGCGAAGGCAGCACCTCCCGAGGTGATGGGCAGGTCACCATGGGGTCAGGACCCAGGCTGCTGGAGAAATGGGCAGGGAGGCGGGAACGGCCAGGAGGGTGTGGTCTGTGCTGAGACAAGCACACGGTGTCTAGGTAATGAGCACAGAGGGGGTCTCCACCACGGCAGTTCCAATCCTAAGACCTTGAGCATGGCAAGAGGTTCCACCTCCTGTGCCAACTCAGAACCGCTGGCTGTGGCTGTGGCTGTGCAGCCGCACCTGGACTCAGCAGGACTCTGATCGGTAAGTCATGCCTACACAGGCAGAGGGCAGAGGGGGTGCCAACCATACCCTGGTTCAATCCCATTTCACACCCAACCAGACGGAGGTCCTGGCAAGGACGTGCCTGACCACAAGCCATGTCTTGGCAAGGGCAGAACCACTCTGGGAACACACACACAGCCAGGCAGTTTAGAAACGCACGAGCCATTCACAGGCTCCCCTCCTCACGTCCCCGCTCACCTGGAACCTGTGCACCAGCTCCAGGGACTGGCTGTCGTTCTGGTCGGCTTCCAGGATGACATCGGTCAGCTTGTGGATGATGACGTCCAGGGGGCCCTGCTCCTCGATCGGCCGGCTGAGGTTCAGCTGCGAGGGGGGAGACACAGAGAAGAACTTCAGCACCTGAGCCCACTGCCCTTCTGTCCCCACCCTCCGCACGTCCCTGCAGCACGGAGGAGGGGTGGGAGGGCTGGCACTCGAGGGAAACAGACAGGACAAAGGGGATCCTAGCGCTCCACCGGGGCAGGCCCCGTGTTTGCACTTCTGTCGCCGAGCCCCACGCTACCCAGGGTGCAGAAGACACACAGGGAATCAAGGTGACCAAGAACCTAAAGGTCGAGCGAACCATCACTGTGCAATCGCTTTATAGAGAGAGAATTTATTGCACACGCCCCCTCTGCCCCACAGCCCGGATTTTTTCAGGAAGACCTCAGCGAGGTGAAGTCATACAGCCAGACGTGTACTGAGAACCAAGAGGACACTCCACAAAACAACACAAACTCTTCGCAAAGCAGTCCTCTCCATAAATCTGAGAGCTGCTGCCGAGAGACCAGCTGCTCACACGTCACCCTGGAGTCGGGCTGATCATGACCGAGTGAAGGAGTGCAGGGCTGCCTGTGATCGTGGGTACTGCCCGCCCTGCTCCCCTGGCACGTGTTTACTGTTTCAAGAGCACAAGGGCCCCCAGGGAGCCAGAGCCGCTGGCTGACAGACAGTCGGCACCACCTGACCCCAAGGCAGGAGCACCTGCCAACAGCCAGGGCAGCCTGCCCCGCCAGATGTCTGCCGCCCTGCACGCGGACACCACCACCTGCAAGGCCAGGCCTTTGGAGGCAGCAGGCGCCAGCACGGCACCTGGCTGACCCCCCGGCTGGCCTCAGTAGAAGCCAGATGAGGCACCAACCCCACCCCTGCCCTCAGCCCCACTCCTCCAAGTGGGACTCCCTCCGGGATTTAAGGCTGACTGTCTCAAAGTCGTTAGTAAAGAAATCACAAGGACAGCTACCAATGATGGCTCTAGGAGGCACCGTGCTACAAACTCAGCGTGCAATCATTTCATTTTCCAACCACATGATGAGAAGCGATTTCACAGACGGGTGGAGAACACGGACTTCTGACACCTGCCTGGGATCCCAGTGAGAAAGCGGGGAGCTGGGACAAAAACAGATCTGAGCCTTCGCTTGTCATTCAGTGCCCCCACCCCAGCCCCTACGCCCTGGGAAGCTGTCCTCTGGAGCCACAACCATCTGGCTGCCTTGTCCACCAAGTCCGGGCAATTGGAAGTACCAATGGGAGATGGGAGAGAGAGAGAGAGAGAGAGAGACATGTCTGGGTGCTTGTTAACTGTCCTCATGCCCCCACCATATTTCTGGCAGCAGCCACAGTCCCCGTGGGCAGGGCAGCCCCTCCCAAAGACCACTGCTATTTCTAGGGCTCCCGTGCCACCCTCCCTCCCTTTGTCCCCTCAGGCCTGGGGTGGTGACAGCTCCCCCTCCCAGGTGCCTCCTGTGACCCTGCCCAGATTTAAACTGTTTCAGTTAAACCTTCACACTGTGCCAGCTCATTCCTGCTGATATCCTTAACTCCTCTTTTTTACTGTCTGCCAGGAAAGATGTTAAGGGATTTCCCCTATTAAAAAAAGAAAATAATGAAGACTCCCCTTCCCATGGCGACTAGCCTGTGTACAAAACAAAACAGAAAGCGGACCAGAGGAGAGCCGACCCCCTCTTCCGGGCTCCCTCCTGGTCCTCACAGCAAGCCCAACCTGGCGATGATGTTCCCGCCTGCACACACCAGGACACCAGAGCTCAGGAGGGAAAGTGACCGCGAAGGCCACGCAGTTGGGAAGCGGCCCAGGTGAGGCCTGGACAAAAGCCAAACAGCAACACCCCTGGGCTCAGGCCCCAGCCGAGCTGCCAGGCATCCTGGGCCTGTGCAAAGCCCAGCTCAGCATCCCCTGGGCCTCAGTTTCTCCTTCAACCAAAACAGGAAACGGCTAGGGCCTTGCTGGTTCTGTCCGCAGAGTCTGTATGAGTCTTTCCCAGAAAGAAAGCAGAAAGTGAAAGGAGACAGAGAAGTCAGTGGGAGGGCAGCGTGGGAAAACAACAGCCAATTCTCAGAAGGTGCCACGGCCAGGGACCCACTTCTGCTGTACCCGTGGCTCTGCCGAGACCGGCACCACAAATAAGAGGCCAGTATTTTCAACCAAGACAGCTACACCCGGAAGGGAACCAGGTCCCAGGAGGGATGCTGGGCCGTGCGCCCCGGGGCCAGTCAGAAACTCCATCCCCTTGAGAACCTCCCGGGTCTCCTGTGCAGCACGAGGGACGGAAATCAGCCCGAGGAGCCGGGGTCCCAGGTGGCAGAGGGGATGCCCTGTCTCATCCTTGCGGGCATCAGCCAGGGCTGTAGACCTGACAACCAGGGGCTGTTTGGAAAATAAGCTCTCCGCGTTCCCGGCTGCTCCGCTGAAGGTAAACAGTCGAGTTCTGGACGCCGGCCACCTTCCTTTGTGTATTTTAGGAGCGTTCTTGTGCCAGTATAACCCTTTCACGATAAAGCGACCTGGGACACACATCAGGCCGTCTGTCCCTGCTCGGCCATCCCTCCCTGCAGTGTCTCTGCTGTAACAGGCTGTCCAGCACGGCTTTACTCAGGTGGCCAGAGAGGCATTGGCCGGGGAGGAGGAGACAGGCTGCTCCCTCAGGAGGGGCCCTCAGAGGACAGGATGTGCAGACGAGGGGACCCTCAGAGGAAGGGGGATGCCACAGAGGAGGGGACCCTCAGAAGGGGACGCACCTCTGTTTCCAGACGGGGTGGGCATTGGGGCTCAGGCAGAAGTGAACTCATTTCCATTGTGTCATTTTGTCTTTCTGACCTCGCTCTGTCCCCAGAGAAAACTTTCCAGGGGACTTGTTGTTCTTTTCCACAGAAGGGGTTCGATCGGTCTCCCTCTGTGAGTAACAAGGCTTCTCAGTGAAAGGGCCGCCACTGGGGCCGGAGGAGGTCTGCGGGCACCGCGCTTCCAAGTCACGCCATCCTGGGAGGCCAATGCTGGATGCTGCCTGTGCCGCGCTCAAACCCGGGAAACAAGGGCCCACTGTTCCCTCGGCGGCGGCGGTGAGGCAGCGAGGCGGGCTAGCAGTGGGGGAGGGCTGGGAGGGGATGAAACAAAGGCCTGCCAACCCCAGTGGCTGGAAAGTCACCTCCAACTTCAAACAGGCAACCCAGTCATGCCAGCCGCAGCCGAGGCAGCGAGGCTCTGGCTCCCCACCTTCCCACCACCTGGTCAGGAGGAGGACGGGCACCGCAGATGCAGAAACCCATCGAGGCTCAGCTGCTCCCAGGCTGCAGCAGGTCGCTTATCTGATCGGTGCCTTGGTTTCCCCATTCATAAAATAAGGATGCAACTCTGTTCCCTCTACACCGCTCAGGGCTGTTTAGATGGATTGGAACATGTGTTTATGGATGCGGCACAGGGTGGTGTTCAGCCCATGCAGGCCGTTAGGACCACCACCCTCCCCCCCCCACCTCTGAGTGCTCAGGACAACGCTTCTGCTTGCTCGCTCACTTCTTCCACAAGCATTTCCTGGCACCTGCTGTGTGCCAGGCCCCTGCCCTCTCCTGTCAGGCAGAGAATGCTGGTTCACTCGGGAGGCAGACTCAGGCGAGGGAGACAGCCACATGCAGCTCCATATCCCACAGGAAGACACGCCCCCCTGCCTGGAATGTCCCCCTGCCCCCAGAGCCCCTTGTCCACACAGTGAGCTCTTGCTTGTTTTCCAAGTCCCAGCTCAAAAGTCTTCTTCAAACAACTCACCCCTCCCCAAGCAGGATGATCGATGGCTGAATGTGTGCTAATGCAAACCACGCTTTAAAGAAAAACTGAACATTGGAGACCAACTAGAAGGGATGTTCCATGGAGCAGGGTGACCCTTTCCTGCTCTGGGAGTTAGAAGCAGACTCCTGGAGGAGGAGGGAGAGGGTGGGGAAGGAAGGTGAGATCCAGGGAGAAGGCAGCTACAGGATACGAACTTGTCTGCACTAAACACGCCTTCATTTGTCAATTCCAAATGCCTCGGTGCCCCAGGCTACCACCTCTGCAAAAAAGAGCGTGTCCTACAGCACCGACCCCTGACGGGCACCTTGGGAGGGGGGCCCACGACCCCCCCTCATGCCTCCTCTGCAGGCAGGAAGCAGAGGATCCCATAGAAGCTGCTGAGGCCTAGAGGGCCAGGTGTCTCCCATGACCAGGACTCTGCTGTGGTATAAACTAATAAAGATCCAGTATGTTAAGCCCAAATTGGGGGTGGTATATGCACTAGCCGTTAGCCTACCCTATCTAATATAGTGCCCAAAGGGAGAAGGTGGGGGGGCTGGAGGGGGTTAGGAAGAAATCAAAGACGGGATCCTCAGCTGTATTCCCAGCTCTCCCTTCTCCCCCAAACTTCCCCACGTGCTTCCCGGACATGATCAATAACCAGCTACACATGAAAGAAACAGAAAAGTGTCTCTGGGGCTCACCAGGGAGGCTGGGGACTCAGGAACCTGGCTCCGACCCCACATGCAGGCTGCTCCTCAGTGGATGCAAAAGGCAATGTGCTATGTGAGCTGGAAGCCACTTGCAGGTCTGAGCAGCCCAAACAGGCTGCATCGGACTTCCCCGCTGAGAAGGCCCCAGCGGAGCCAGCGTGGGAGTCAGGCAGGGGAAGGCCTGGCCTGTGCGGTCTCCCCTCTCTGGGAACCTCGATGTTGATCCTGACATTAGTGTGCAGCTCTCGCACACCTGCTCTGCACTGGGCTCTGTTCTAAACACTTCACACGCATTAACTCATTAAATGCTCACAGCAGCCTGAGATGGGGACCAGGAGAGAGGCCCAGCGGTTAATAACCTGCCGAGGTCTCAATGCTCACGCCCACGCTCACGCTCACGCCCACTCCTAGACCTGGCCAAGGAGTCTAGGGGGGAATGCCCTGGATGACAGGAGAGTCTTCTGTTCTAGTGGAGCAGAGCCTGCTGGGCTCCTGGGTGAGGGCTGGCACCAGAAAGACCAAGCCATGACTAGAAGCTTCGGTCCCATCCCGTT